TAGGTATCCCTATGGACTATATCATTTTGTGGACAGTATTGGGATATATAGAGGAACCGCCAAATGAGGAGGGTCTGGGGGTTTGGGGTCTTGATGGTCTTTCGGCTCTCAAACATGGGACCTTGTTGCAGCTGGCTTGGTGCAAGGCTCTGTTTACCCCTTAGGCTGGGTCCCCGTGACAGGTTGCAAGGGTTGATTATGGCCATAGCTCTTCACAGCACAGCAGTTCTCAGTTTCGACCGTTTGAACAGTAAACCTGCGCTGGTATGCCTGCAAGCGTTCTGGATTAGGGCTCAGATTTTTAATTTTTGGGTTCAGGGTTCTAAGGTTCCAGGACTTGCCAAAATGGGTGATCATTAGGATAATTTCCCAGTAATCGATGAAGAATCAAATGGAAAAGAACAGGGAAAATTCAATGCAAACCGACTATATATAGGTTTACATAGCGATCCAGGATTGTTGAAATTGGGTCCCTCATCAGAATGAACAACTCCCCTTATGAAATTCGGTAGAAACCCAAGGATCTCTTATATTCATTATCTCCTTGCAAGGCACCCCTATTTGGAGAAAGCCCAGAAGCTCTACCCTTAACGTCGGGGCATACCGCCCTCATTCCTAGATCCTAGCCATGCACCCTACACGGCTAAACCCGCACAGCCGGAATCTTAACACCCAAACCCCGAATTTAGGACTTTAGGGGGTTGAAGGTTTAGGGTCTAGGGGTTTAGGGTTTAGACTGCTACAACTACTATCTCCCAAATCCCAAGTCTTGAGTCACTGAGTGGGGCCCTTACAGAAGCACTTTTGTGAGTAAAGTTTCATCCCAAGCCTCTTCATGCTTAACCCCGAACACCGGTAGGTTTGACAAAGATTTGTTTTTGACCCTTACCCTGGGGCTCTAAATATATAAATAATACCGACATGGGGCCCTAAACCAAACCTTATAAATCGTACCTACATGGAGTCTTAGGGTTAAACATAAGCTCCATAAAGCCGTAAATCAATTGATGTCTATGGGGCTTTCAAACCTACCGTAGTGAACCCCTACAACCCCCCAGACCTTCATTCCTAAATTATAGGCCCTAAACCCAAACCCACAAACCTTCAACCTTCAAACTAGAAATCCTAAACCCCTAAACCATAAAACCTGGTAACGGCGTGACTCGCGACCGCACAGCCACAGCGCATGTGTGTTCAAGGTGCTGGAATGGAACATGTAGGTTTTTGCAAGGTTTTTGCAGGCATCACATCTGGAATGGCCAAAAGGCAATGCTCAAGAATACTGCTTTTGCCACTGCATCCACTTCCGAATGGTAGAAAACATTGACAGGCGTGTGGGATTCAGACACCAGTACAAAGTGTGCTCCAAGCAGAAATGTTTTCAAATTATGTGGTTGGCCTTCTTCGCAAGAGTTCCCAAAGCCTTCCACAGGCCTGGGCGGTTATTACGGCGCCACTAAAACCGCTCCAGGTATGTCCAACAAACGTCAAGGCATTGGGTTCCTGTGCTCTTGCTCTCGCACACGGAAACAAGCCAGAAGCAGTGCAAGCTAGCCCCAACCTCTGCAAGCGAAAATCGAAGCAGATTGTGCAATCTGCCGACGCGTGCTCGGCAACTCCCACAGTTCCATTGTGGGAAAAGACTTGCTCTGAAGACGGTTGCCCGAATCGTTTGAGCCGTTGGGCAGTCCTCCTACCTCAAGACGCCCGCCAAGTAGCACCGTGTGTTTGACAAGAAAAAGATGCGCTCAGAAGCAAGCCTGTTGCAGGTACTGTCCTGGAAAACGTAAGACACCGACGAAATTATCCTTTCCCCACCCTCCCCCCCACCCAAAGTATAAGTGCCCTGCGAATCTCAAAAACTCAAAAGGCCTTGCGGTCATGGGGAACGCCGTTAGCTGAAACTTGCAGTAACGGAGGCTTCATTGCTGGTCTTGGTCTGCGGTACAGATACCCTTGGTGTGGGTGTTTGCCTGAGAAATGTGTTGTCTTTGGGTTGAGGAATTCGGATTTTAGAGCTTCAGGGTTCAGGGTTTAGGGTATAGGATGTTAGAGCTTTAGGGTCCAGGGTCGAGGTTTTGAGCGTTAGGTTTTGGAGTTTAGGAGTCTTAGGGTTCAGGGCTTTTTAGGGTTTAAGGTCTCAGGGTATAGGGTTTTAGGGTTTAGGGAATGGGGTGTCGTTCCGGCTTTTAGGGTTCCCAGCCTTAGGTTATGAAGTTTCAGGTTTGACGTTAAGGTCCCAAGGATTTATAATTGAAATCGAAACCGGTATTATACAGGGGGTTGTAGGGAATCCAAGGTCTCAGGGGCCCTGTCATCCCCATGACTGAAGAACCACAAACCTTCCGCCACCGGAGTTGCGTAGCTCCAAATGAGGTAAACCTAGATGGCAGGCAGCACTTAAGACATCAGGGCAGATTTGGGAAGCCGATTTCTGTGCAAGCTTCTACTTTTTTGGGTCTGCTGGCAGCATAGTCCTGCGCATATGACATCAATGACGCAAGCTCGTTCTGCGACCGGGTCGGGCATTTCAGTTGCCGGCGCCACGAGCTGAAATTGCCGCCTAGTGTCAGACCTCAAAACCCAAATAATAGCTCCTTGCACATTGCCCATTGCATTTTCCTCATCAATCCTACCTTGGAGTTTCAGTCACAAAGCGTGGCGCAACGGCTTTTCCTGCCGTTATTTCTACGCAAGCGGGCGTTCGCCCCTGAATGGCAGCCAGTTCCAAGGGTTTGCAGTGTTTGCAGCTGAGGTGTCAACGTCCCGATCCGGAGCGTGCTTTTCACCAGGCCCGTCCGAAAGTTGCGCAGGTGGAGATTTCAGAGTATGTTTCGCTTTGCTTAGAGTGTGTTGAAAATTGCGGCATCCAGATCCTGCACCTTGCTTGCATTTAAAGGTAGGTCTACAAGAAGGGGTACCGCCAGCTCTTGTCTGGATCAGGGGGGCGGACAACCCTATCACTTTGTGTTAGACTACCGGGGTCTAGTTCTTTCACCCATCGGCCATGCGTGGCCCCTCTCCCAGCAATCATCGACGGTGGGTGCAGCGCTTGGATTTTCATAATGCTGACTCTGAAGCATGTTGAGCACAAGTGCAAAAGCTCCCAACCTTGAAACGGAAAGACCTGACTGCTAGGTTGCGGAATGAGAAAAAACAGACATCTTGCGCCTTTTTTGAGCTCCAGTGCAACTATAGCCACAAAAGTCCTGATTGTCTTACAGTTTACAAAGCTGATGGGCACAACCACTGGCGTTGAGACATTTGAAATCTCACGTCAGGCTGACCAATCTGGAACCCATCAAAATTCAATTTATATGACCCCTATATATACACATATATACATATCTGTATATATATATATATGTAGAGGTGCATCTCTTAGATATCCCAAAATAATCCAATTCAATCACCATGTCCCTTGATCTGCTCAAGCCAAAATGTCGAGGAAGGCCGGCTACTCGACAAGATCAACAAAATTCCGCTTTGCATTTTGCAAGCATCAGAGACCAGTCTAGGACACATAAGGGGTTTAGGTTGCGACAACAGCAGCGAATTTGATGACATCACCAAGCCTGAGCCATCAAGATTCAAAAAGCAGAAAACGAGTCTGAAGCTTCAGCCGGTAACCCGCAAAGCTTGAATATTGGACGTGAGAGCCTAGATCTGGAACCCTAATCTTTGAACCTTTCTCCCACTGTAGATCCTCTAAGAATCCTCGCGACGCCTGCAGAATCCCTGGCGGACCCAAAATAATCCGTACTACCTCTAGCATGATGTGGTATAACCCTCTTTGGAGTTTCAGATACCCCTATCGAGCGTTTCGCATCATGGCTGCGGGTGGCTTCTGAATCGCAAACATGGTGGTACCCTGCGATGTGCAGCTGCTGGTGCTCACATCCTTCCTGGTTCAGGCAAGTTAGTTTGGTGCATAGCTGGAAAGATGGTCCCGTCACCACATACCACCCTGAATTAAAGAATCATAGCAGCGTGCCTGCCAAAACCTTTCCAGCAGTGTAGCTTTGAGCGTGGGACTTGCACAGTCTGTAGTTTTGGGAGATTTCCGTGGAGGGGTATGTCAAAATTGTGAGGGGTCTGCTAAGGGGTCCTCATAACACTCCTGGCATTCGGGGGAGATGGGGGCTTGCCCAACTGCTACACTTTATGAGCTAAGTTTTTGCCCTTTCCTTGCTGGTGCTAAAAAAAGAGAGGGTGCATAGAATTACTCCCGGCAAGCTCCCCGTAGACACTCGTTATGGTACCTTCATTCCCTCCGCCACTCCCCAAGCACCAATGACTGTCAGCCCCAGGCCCTCATCCCCGTGTGAAGTTGCCTGCCCATGCTAGACACGCCAAACCCACACCCCTAACCCTTATCCTATGCATTATGCCGCTACATAACTCTGTACATCCCTTCAAAAGGGGCCCTTCCTTTTAGTCCCAAACCCCAAACCCTTCAAACGGGCCCTTGATCCGAGTAAAGTAGGCAAACTGCCTTGGACTCAAGTTTGGCTTCGGCCAGCTTTTCGCAGCGCTGAAGGTACCAGGGATTGATTGGCAAAAGTCGATGGGTGTAAACCGGGTTAGGGTCTAGGAGGCTCCAAGTAGCCAATGATAAGGGCTTCAGGTCTCAAATAGTATAACCTGCATTATTTGTGTACCTAAAACGGTACTTGGACCCTTAGGGGATCTGTTTAGGAAGAAGTGTGGTGGCTGCAACGGGTTGAACTTGGCCATTTAAGGATAGAGAAAGAAGGGTTTTATTGGTTGAGTGATCAAGGGTAGAATTGGTGCAAGAACGAGCCCTGTTAAATCCTTCGCTTTCCAGGCTTAGAACTTATTTCTCGCCTTGAGACTGTTTTGGTTCATGTTGTAAGTGTAAAGTTTGAGCATTCAGTTAACTCCAAGTAAGAACGCACTTGGAACCCTAAACCCTAAACCCTAAACCCTAACCCCTAAACCCTAACCCCTAAACCCTTCCCTTATTGAAAGCCCTGAAGGCGCAGACCGGTGAGTCTGCGGGTAGTCTGGCGTTGATTGGCTCCCTACGGGACTTCATCTTTCACCTGACCCAGTCACTTGGCTCGAGCTTGAGGGTTTGGGGGGTTTAGGGCCTGTTATGTAGGGCTTATATTGGGATAATGGAAAAGAAAATGGAAACTACTATTTAGGGGTTTAGGGTTTTGTGGTTTAGAGGTTCAGGGTTAGAATGATTAGAATCTTGGGCTGTAAGGTTGTGGGTGTCCGGGCTCATGGTTCAGGATTTTAGGTTGAAGGTCACTCAAAAAGTATTGTTGACAAGCACCTCGTGAATTTTGAATGGAGAGTACAAGCAGGCAAACCATTAAACCGAAACCCTAAACCCTTTATAAATAGTATTCTCCATTTTATTTTCCATTATCCCATTATTACCTCCGACCGTCGTTCGTTGTTGCCTGAAGATGGCAGCATCAAACTGGCATGTGATCTCCCAATCCACTCTACAACATGCCTACCAAATGATGCCTCACCACTTGCCCCATGACGATGAATCCTACACCCAGAACCCTAAAGCCACTTATCCCTGGACCCTCTATAGTAGTTTCCATTTTCTTTTCCACTCTCCCCCCAAAACCTGGACCTAACAGCTCCAAAGCCTAAAAGCCCCAGCCCCTTAACCCCCAACCCTCAACCGTGAACTCCCCAATGAATCAATCACTTGACCCTAAACTGCCCTTAGAGGATCCTTGCCGGTTTCGCCGTCCGCAAGTTGGGTTATGTGCCTCGGCTATTTGCTGGTATAGTTCTGTGTACGCAAAATTATGAAACAGTAGATGTAGTGGTAATGGTGGTAGTAGTAGTAGCAGTAGCAGTAGCAGTAGCAGTAGCAGTAGCAGTAGGAGTAGTAGTAGTAGTAGTAGTAGTAGTAGTAGTAGTAGTAGTAGATAAGAGGACCCTAGTATGATCACAACTATACCTTAGAGTCACTTTGATTGGGTGGGGTTCCGG